CCATGAGATCTTCTCGAACCGTCAAGCCATGATTAGCAGCCTCTAATAATTACCCCTAATTAATTAGGGAGTAATTATGGGGGCAGTTGAGGATACCGGAAGTGACATGGGCCGGATATGACCCACGAAAAGAGGATCGGGCCGAGAAACTGGATTCAGCCCACACGATGATGTTGCGGAATGGGCCGAATGCAAGAGATCTTCCGAAAAGAGCTAGGCCCGTAAGGAATGAAGCCTGTGGTCAAGGGACCCAACTTAGGGAATCACTTATAGCATTCTAATAGTACTTATAAATGCCTATAAATAGGCAGAAAGGAGAGAATATAAAGAATATTTTTTAATTAAAAATGTAACGAGACTCTGTTATAATAGAGAGAGTTAATTCTTTGCATCTTCAATCACCTAGAGCAATCAAAGGCCGGGTCATTAATTAGGCTATAGTACTGATTAAGAAGATCCCATAACTTTAATCTATCACCATGGACATTTGCTGCATAAATAGGTGAGAAGAAGAGGACCTCACCGCTCTTGACACATGTGACCTTCAGCAACATACATTGGTCACTCTCAGCCATCACATCCACAGAAAAAACAAGTGGATTCCAACCCACCCACGATCTTCCTAAATCATGAGAGTTATAATTGTGAGTCCAATACCAGTTTCTACCAATCTTTCTAGAAATTACACCAAATGAGACCGTTTTAACACTAGTCTCAACCAAACAGACAGTATGAGAATTTGAATCATGAATCCACTTCTTCACATCCCTATGTCTTTTGGGCTTGTTCAAGCCCCTCGCATTCCAGCACCTAATCATTGAGGTAGAAGGATGGGGCTAAAGTCCCACATGACTTCTAGTAACCCTATCGGTGGTACCTATACATTTTGCCTTATGACCCTTCAAAAGCAAAATATATATAGCCATTGAAAAGTGTTGTTGCACTATAAATACTCCTCATTGTTTCTTCATTACAACCTGTGCACCATTGCATGCTTGAGGACCAAAATGAAGGTTTGCAATATAGTAAGCAAACTGTTACAGACTTGCGGTACGTCCACTTCTCTTTCTTTATTTTATTTTTTAAAACCTGAATTTGAACTTTAAACATAAATAAGTGATAATTGAGATTATCCCCAAAATCAAACAGGAATGAGGGACAGTCATGGGGTCAAAGACACATTATGATCTTCTTTCGAAAATTTAGCCAAAAGCTTGGAAAGCTTAGAGTTTATATCGTCCCCAAAATCAAACCCAGCATCCCTAGTAACCATGTCTCTGTCTCCCAATATATCGCTAGGTATTTCCATCACTAACAAGAACATATGAAAAGCAAATTTAGAGGAGAAGAACATACCAAATACACAAACCTATAGTTTACAATTAGTTACACATTTTGCGAATCTAGCTCGCTCCGAGTCTTTGACCCCATGACTGTCTCTCATTCCTGATTGATGCTGACGAAGAACGAAGTGGAAGATGATCCCTCCTCGGAAGATTACTTTCAAGAGAACCCATTTATAGTCCCATTGAACTTTGCAATACACACACAAATAAAGAAACTGATGAGAAATGGGTTTAATTTAAAGTGTTGTGATGGTACAAGTGGCAATGAGAACATAGATTATTTGTTTAATGCTACTAAGTAACTCAAGAATGTGCTTCTGAGTCTCTGAGTATTGAATTGACTAAACAAAATAGTTAGAGAGAGAGAGAGAGAGAGAGAGAGAGAGAGAAACTAAGAACAAGAAATGAATGAATTCAAGCATGTGCCCGTGAGTATTTGAGTAAACGAAACAGCTACAGAGAGAGAGAGAGAGAGAGCGATTAAGAAAAAGAAAATGAGTGTGTGTATATTATAATAAATATATGAAAATCTATTCCCCTAATATTGTTTATATAAATAAATGGGGCATTTTGGACATTTAAAATTACAAATATTTTGTGATAAATTATATTAAACAATTAGGGGTAAATGGGCATGTGTCAGAGCCGAAAAAGTAAATTGGGATGTAACTGAAAATTAAAATTAAAATCTTTATTTGGGTAAGATTTGACCTAATCTGAAGAGTTGTCAGTGTAATGTACCTATAGTTTTAAAATTCCAAACTAGTTGGAAAATATTTTGGAACATTTCCGGACCTAACTTTCCATGCTTCATCCAATACAAACAAACTCAAAATTGACAAAATAAAATATCCTTAAAGTGTTATGAGTCTAGTTTCTAAATAATCTCAAAACTCCATATATAATAAATGTTAGGATTTGAGTAAATACAGCCCCCTGTGTGGATTGTGTTTAAGATTACCATATTCTTCCCTCCTTTAACTTCCTATATTCTTTTCATTTAACAATTTCTCAAAACCACTTTTTTTAATTTTTTCCTTCATCTTCTAGTAGAACCCTTGAATCTTTGCTCTTAATGCAATTAGGGCCGGTTTGGCTGGGTTTTCTGTAGCCTCAAAACGGGCTTCTAAGTATAAAAAGTCCTTTGCCAATAATAAAGAGTTTTTGGTAAAATTTCTGAACCAAAGCCAATAATATAGTTAAAATCTCTAGTTTTCCTCGTCCTTGTTTTAAATAAGTTTATATATATTCTTCTCACCATCTATCTTGACTAATTTAGAATATAGATCATTATATACTCCATGTTTTGTTTCACTTATTACTCTTTTAACTTCTTTGTTTACATTTTCTATTTTTCTTTTCTTTTACTTGCTACTTTTTTAACTTCTTTATTTACATTTTTGTATTTTACAAAGATAACACTATTTTAAATTTTTTGTCAAGTTTATAGCAATATTTGGTTTTTGGTTTTACGATGTTTTGGACAAGTTTCCTTAGATAATGGCCCCGACCCCTTTAATTCACCCGAGACATCTTTTACTACACTTCATACATGCATAGGTAAACTAAATTAAATTAAAACTTAAGCGACATTTATAAATTAATATGTAAACGGAGATAGCAATCATATTAGGTCTGATTTTGATATATACATATAATTATAATAATAATAATAAGGGCTAATTACACTCACACCCCCTGAGGTTTGTTATATTGACAACCATGTATAAGTTGGACATTTTTTGAACAATGACACCCCCTATCATAAATTGAATCCAAACAGCTCCTTAAAAGATGTGAAAAGTCAAGATTAACCCTTCAATATTTTATTAATTTAAATTATAAAATATCAAAAATATTAAATGACATTTTTGCCCTTAATTTACCATCATTACACTCCACCCCCACACACCCAATCTCTAACCTTACCTTCTCCATCAGAAACCTAACTCTACTCTCTCTCTCTCTTTTCTCTCTCTAACAATCAGCTTCTCTTTATTGAGATTTATACATATAAATATATATATATATATATATATTCAGAACTCAAACACCGTATCAAACCCATACACCACCATCACCGCCAAAACAGAAAAAATAGTGGCAACGGACAACCACCATGGCAGCTCTAACCCTAACAAACCCAACACCAAACCCATGGCCTCTCCCTCAAACCTACCACCAAATCCCTAGCCCTCTCCACCCCTAAATCCCTTACCACCGTTGCTGCCATAACCACCAAAAAATCCGTCGCCTTGAACTGTTTGATCTGGTCGCAGCGTCGAGGTTGTTGCCGAAGACAGAGACGAGACCCATCCTTGTGATTTTTGGATCCTTCTCGAGGTTAGAGCGAAGGTTGTGATGGTGTCGGCGCCGCCTTCGCCATGGCTACTGTCTAAAGTACAATCTTGGAGGCATAGAGATAAAGCCATTACTGAAATTCTTCCAGAGTGTGCAATTGAAATCCTTCCAGTGTGCAATCAAATTGAAATTTCCCATCAAATGACACAAATATACAAATGGTAGTTCCAACAATTGATTTGGTGGTCTTCACTGAATATATATATATATATATATATATATATATATATATATATATATGTACATACATACATATACACACAAATTTGGAGAGAGATCGAGAGATATCCACATATTACATGCTTGTATATATGCGAGAATTTAGTTAATATATGGTGTATTATACATTCCATTACTGCCAAGGTGTACCATACATTCCATTGTAGCAATATAAATGGTGGATGACAAATCTGGCAAATCTAGCTTGCCATATACAATTGATCAGAAAGGAAATGAGCTTGGGTCTCTCTCTATATTTCTTCTCCTGGGATATTATTCGGTGGAGTTGAAAAGATCCCAAGGATATGCAGCTTATAGTCTAAGCCATTTTATTAAACCCGGGTTCAGTCAGGGCGTGTTTCTCAAAAGCACCAATATCAAAATCATTTTCGAAAAATTAGGTCAAACAGAGAACATCTAGTCCTAAAACGTACATGCAATTATGCAAAATACATCTACATCAAATGTTACCTAAACTAAAAAAGAAACTGTTGCAGAAAACAGAGTATGAGTACCCCCTGCAAGAACGAAATGATAAAAACAGAAAAACAAAAAATAAAGACAAAACCCAAAACCCACAAATGAACAAGAAGAGATTTCTAAATAAAGCCCTTCTTCTAGCGGCTTTAAATTTCATTTTTACCTTCCGAAATATATATATATATATATATATATATATAAATGGTGGATGACCTTCCGGAAATATATATATATATATGCCTCTAAATACCCATCAAGTGCCTCTGATCCACAGTTTTTATATATATATATATATATATTATACAAGGTTAGAAATGTAATTTCATTATTCATATTGGTCAATTTATAAGTCAAAGGGCAACAATGTCAATTCATGAGGTGTCAGGGGGTGGCAAGTGACTCATGGGGTGTCTTTGTTAACTTTATCAAACTTGAAGGGGTGCCATTGTTCAAAAAAGGTCCAACTTATATATGGCTGTCAATATGATAAACCTCAGGGGGTGTTGGTGTAATTAACCTAATAATAATAATAATAATAATAATAATAAATAATGAATAATGAATAATAATAATTATTATCTTATTCTTTTGTAGGACTCCAAAAAGGAGATCAACTTGCTGAAACATGAAATTGAACTGCTGCAAAAAGGCCTCAGGTAAAGCAAACTTCTTTTTTTAAAAAATAAAAATAATTAAAAAATACTTTATTTGTGTTGGAAAATTATACGTGGTTATCTTTAATTATTTTATTTTTATTTTTTATTTTATTTTTATTTTTGTGAAATTTCAAGCAAAGGCATACACCCACTATATATATAATGTGCAACATCCTCATTTGAGGAAAGAAAAACTTATATCATTTGGACTGCCTATTGATATCTTCTAAAATTTTAATGGTTCGTATACGTAATTGTTTTCTTATAAATTAATATAATGTTAGGTTTTTAATTTCAAGAGGTTGATTCAATAATTACTATAGGGCAAGCAGAGCTTGAGCCGAAGTGGTTCCATCGCTTGCCTCATCATTATTGTTGTAAAACGGTTTCCTTATATGGTAGTTTCGGTAGCATGGATGGAGTAAAACGGGCCGTGTTTGGGCCTGCTCCTGAAATTCTTTTATTTATATAAAATATTTGAAATTTTGCTAAAATTCTAATAAAAATATTATATCTTATGATTGTTCAAGGCCACCTCCCTCAAATAATTTTTTCAGATTTTACGTTTTAACCCTTTTCATGGTATATTTTAAAACATCAATCAACAACAATACGATAGGATTCTTTGTTTGATTGAGTTTTAGGCCAGCCAAATTTTGAATTAAAGGATGACATTCATTGAAGGTGTTACTGGCTCAAGAAACAGTGACGGACTCGAAAAATTATATGAGTGGAGACGTTGAATGACAATAAGAATTTTTTTTTTTCCTTTCAAGCTATCATAATATGCAAAAGATTTTAAATGATAATTTTATTGAGTACATTTACAATTATTCTTAATAAGTTTTCATATTTATAAAACACCACATGATAATTTCATTATCTATGCTACAAAAAGTATATTGTCAACATATATACACTCAAATTATGACACATTCATTGACTTCTCATTGCATTGCACAATTAATTATAACATTCATAGCAAAAATGCACTAAAGAGAGAAAATGAGAGGGAGAGGAGAGGGAGAGAGACGACTATTTTACTTTGCTCAAGAGCTAAAAATATCATTGGGGGCAATATTATATAGTAGGGTATTTCAAAACTTGAGTGGGGCATTTTTAAAATTCTAACAAAAGTTATAAGTCATAATGTAAATAACAAAAAAATCAGCCGGGGACGGATGCCCCCACTGGGCCCTTGATAGGTTCGTCCGTGCCAGAAGTGACTAGGGATATCAACAAGGCGAATTCGGAACAGGGTACCCCTTCCCAATCCTATCGCACCAATGAAAATCTTTTCCAAACCCAGTTCGAGACACCCCGCTTCGTAGTCGAGGCGTGTTCGAGGTGCCTCGATATGTATAATTTTGTAAGAAAAATAATTCAAACTTGAACAAATTTAAGATAAATTATATATATATATATATATATATATATATATATCAAATTGTATAATCAAATATTTAACAATCATAATAACAAAAAATTGTTAAAATTTAAAATTATCATAAGAAATAAAAAATAAAAAAGTTATAGTTAATAAAAGAATATTTATTTATATACTAATTATTAATGGGGGTGGATTAAGGGCTTTGTGAGTTTCAAATAGGGGTGACAAATTACAACACGATATGACAACACGACACGAACACGACACGAGTTAAAAAGGTATGGGTTTGGCATAAACGGGTTTGGGTCATAAAAGGGTTGACACGATTAAACCCGTTTACTTAATCATATTGGGTTAGGGTTGAGGGATTCAACCCGTGTAACCCGTTTGTGACTCATTTAACTCAACATGTTATAATCGTGAATATGACCTATATAATATGTTACCCATTTAAACCTAATTATTATAAATAATTAAGTCATTTCAACATAAACCCTTGTCTATGTCTTATGATTTTTCTTTTTATTTTGAATATTTGGGTTAATTATGACAATTTTTTTTCTATTATTTAGTATTTAATTAAATATTAAATGTCTCGTTTTGATAAATATGTCATTAAATGGGTTAACACATTTAATTGTTTAATAAACGGGTTGGGTTAGTGTTGAGAATTTTTGACACGATTATTAAATGGGTTGGGTTTAAGTTTACCTATTTAGTATAATACCCTTACATCGACACGACACGAACATGACCCACGAACATGAATTGCCACCCCTAGTTTCAAACTCTCTTCATAATCACATCCAAACCGGATTAGGATGATCTTAAACCCGTCCCAATAAGGCATGGCGGGTTAAATTGACATCCCTAATTGCAAGATTTCAGCATAATGTAGACCAATTCCTACAATTCTACTCTAGATGTTTAATTTATATCTTCCCATTTTATTTCTGAATAAATACACCATGCACAAGAACAAGTGATTTATTTCTTTCAAACTATCAATTAAGTCATTCACCATGAGTTTCTATGGTAATGAGTTTTTGTAAGGTGAACTTAGGGATACATAAATGATTAAAGGGTTAGAATTCTACACGATCCTTCTATGATCTAGGGTGGTAAAGATTATTTCCTATGTAATTGGTGAAGAGATTTTTTATATTAACTCGTGACCTTCACGTCATAATAGAGCAATCTTACCATTGTGTTAAGACTCGTCTTAAAAAATGCATAACTGGTTATCTATTAATAACATATCTTCAAACAATTTGTTGATTTGAGAAATATGGTACATACAAAAAAATGCAATTTTCAAAAAGATTTGTAAATCCCCAAGGTGTGCATTCGTATCTAACACATCTCCAATTCTTGATAATAAATGACTAAACAATTTATGAAAAATACATAATAATAATAATAATAATAATAATAATAATAATAATAATAGAACAACAAAAAAGAAAATCAAATGTATGATTCCATAGTAGTCACTTTTATGACTTTTCTTCAATTACTTGATATAAAATTGTATTTGGATTCCATTTTAAAATTACTTGAATTATATAATTTTGGGAGGGATCTATTTAGGTCCCCACGAACCTTTTTTAATTTCTACTATATACCTATAATTTTTTTAAAATTCAAAAAAATCCTAGTAATTAACTTTCTCTCACGTATAAAAGTGACAATGTCAATGGTATAGCCATATTTTTTCTTTGCTCAACTTTTTATTATTTTAGTTTTGTATGTCTATCTTTTGATAATTGTATATATATCCCTACAAAATAATAAAAATTACCTTAATCGTAAAACTTAACAAAAAAACAGACAAATGAGGAGAGAAACAATGGAGGACAATGTATGTTACACAACTTATGTTTTTAAAAGATGAAAACTAAATGAATATAACTATAAATACCGTTAGAAATAAGAGAGAGAGAGAACAATTGTATATTGTATTGATGTGTAAGATATGAATATACATAATAGTTTATATAGGTGACGAGATGTGTGGAGAGTAAGAAACCTAAACCCTAAATGGTAAACCTATTCATGGTTAGAATATATTCTATAATATAGTAATAATATAAACCTATACATGGTAAGAATATATTCTATAATATAGTAATAACATATTTTACAATATATTCTAATAATCCCCCTCAAAATCAAGATGGATTGAAGGAAACCTTCTTGAGTTTGGAAATGAGATCTTGAAAGCGACAAGGCGGAAGCGATTTGGTGAAAACATCAGCAATCTGATCATGTGAAGTGATGGATCGTAATTGTAAGGTCTTCTGAAGAAGATGATGACGAACAAAATGACAGTCAATCTCAATGTGTTTAGTGCATGCACTCATGAAAAACATCATTGTGTGCAATCTAGATTGTACTCTATTATCACAATAGATAGGAGTGGCAGTGGATGAAGAAACTCCCTTGTTTTGAAAGAGCCAACGCAACCACAGAAACTCAGAAGTAGTGTCAGCAAGTGCCCTGTATTCAGCTTCTGTGCTAGATCAAACAACCACAGTCTGTTTCTTGCTGTGCCAAGAGATAAGTGAATCACCAAGAAAGAAACAATAGCCTGTGGTGGAACGACGATCTGTAGGGTCTCCTACATAGTCTGCATCAGAATAAGCACGTAGAATAAGCGATAACTGAGAAGAAAAATGCGGTCAATGAAACATAGTGCCTTTGAGATAACAAAGGATGCGAAGAACGATAACAAAATAAGTAAACCAAAGGATAGTCATGAACTGACTAACTATGTGGACACCATGAAAGATGTCGGGACAAGTGACGGTGAAATAAACCAAACTACTTACCAATTGGAGATACAAAGTACCATCTTGAAGAGATTCTCCATCATATAGATTAAGTCTTGTGTTGTACTCAAGGGGGGTATCAACAATCTTGCTGTCAGTTACACCCGATTTCGAGAGAAGATCGGATATGTATTTTGCCTGAGTAAGATAGTAATCATTTGTAGATGTAGTTATCTCAAAACCAAGAAAATAACTGAGGGGTCTAAGATTCTTCATCTCGATCTGAATATTGAAAAATTGTTTGAGCTCCTGAATTCTTGTCAAATCATCTCCAGTAATGATCATATTATCAACGTAAAGTAAATGGAGAATGATACCTCAATTGGTGCGTCAAATAAATAAAGAACAGTCATAAGGATTACCAGAGTATCTAAGTCGATAGATAGTCCGACTGAATTTGGCAAACCAAGCTCGCGGTGCCTATTTGAGACCATACAAAGCACGTCTAAGTCTGCAAACCTTATTAGAAGGATGAGGATAACCTAGAGGAGGCTGCATGTACACTTCCTTGAGTAAATCACCATTAAGAAAAGCATTCTTAACATCCATCTAAAAAAGTCCCCAATGACGAGAAGCTGCCACGACAATAAGAGTTCGAACAGAGGGAAAACGTGCAACATGAGCAAATGTCTCTTCAAAATCAATGCCATATTCCTTTATGAACCTTCTAGCAACAAGTCGAGCTTTGTAGTGCTTAACAGACATATCTAAACAAGTCTTGATCTTGTAAACGCATTTACATCTTACAGTAGACTTTCCAGGAGGCAGATTAACCAGATCCCATGTATGAGTTTTGGATAGTGCATTTAACTCTTCTTGCATTGCGTGCTGCTATATGAGGTAAGAAGATGCCTCATTAAAATTTTGAGGTTCATGTAAGGTAGCAAGAGCATGATAATAATGAAAATCACTAAGATATGCAGGTGAATTTCTTACCCGAGTTGAATGAGGGCGAAGATGTGTGGTAGGCGCACTGTCAGGAACCTCAGACTGGGCAGATGAGTGGGACTCAGCTAGCAGAGGGTTGTAGGAGTGGGACTCAGCTAGTAGAGGGTTAACAATATCAGATGATTCTATAGAATCAGGAAAGAGATTTGCAGAGGTGTCTAATGGAGGAAGAGGAAAAGCTTGATCATAAATACCACTAAACTTAGATAATGTATGAAACAGTTTATTCTTCCAAAAAATGACATGACGAGAAATTCTAAGGCATTTATCAACAAGATCATAACATCTATACCCCTTTTGTTCAATTTTATAGACAAGAAAATAACAAAGTCGAGAACGTGGTTGTAACTTATTTCGCTCATAAGGTTGAAGAAGAACAAAACAGGCACACCCAAAGACTTTAAGATGACTATAGTTGGCAAGTTTTCCATAGAGAAGTTCATAAGGTGTTTGATTTTGGAAAAGTGGTGGAGGAACACAATTCATGGTATAAACAATAGTAAGAGATGATTTACCCCCAACAGATGAAGACACGAAAGCAGAAAGAGTTAGTGAACGAGTTAAATCTAAAATATATCGAAGTTTACGTTTAGATCGACCATTCTGCTGAGACATGCCAGTACAAGAAGTGTGAAAAATTATACTGTAATGTTGGAGAATTTTTTGAAATTCATCTTGTCGGTACTCTTGAGCATTATCAGACTGAAACATTTTGATTGGTTTGAAAAAATGAGTTGTAATTATTTGAGTAAAATCATGAAATATTTTAAATAATTCAAAATAATTTTTCATTAAAAAATTCCATATGAATCGTGAAAAATCATCAACAAAAATAACAAAATATCATGATCCTTCTATAGTAGATATAGTTAAAGTTCCCCAAACATTATAATAGATAAGATCAAATGGAGCAGAAGCAAAATACTCACTTTTATTAAATGGGAAGGCATGTTGTTTTCGCAAATGACATGAAAAACAATCAAAAGACTTAAGTTTAACCTGGGCTAACAAACCAGTAGATGCAAGGGTTTTGACTCGAGATAATGACGCATAACCCAAACGAGAATGCCATAACTTAAGTGCATGAGAGGTGGACCATGTAAAGGTAGTAGAAATAGTGGTAGTAGGCAAATGTAATGAAGAAAGTTCAAATAGTCGTCCTATCTTACAACTTGTCCCAATGATCTGTACTGCCCGAGGATCTTGTACAACATAACCATTAGAAGAAAATGTTATGGTCAATCCTAACTCAGTAGTTGTCCAATAGATAAAAGATTAAGGGAAAGTTTTGGAACAAGATAAACATAGGGCGCACATAATTGAGATTGAGAAATAGTTCCTATGTGACTACTAGCCATAGTGGAACTAGTAGTTGTGTGTATAATAGGAGAGTGAAAGTAGGAGTCTAGGATGTGAGTAATGTATGATTAGGTGTCATGTGATTGTAGCAAGCAGAGTCAAAATACCAAGAACCATGTTTACTTGGTGTAGTAAAAATAGTAGTGGAAGATGCACCTTGATATTGAGATAAAACCTGGTTGAGAAATGCCTCAAGGTCAGTTGCAGAAAAAGAAGATAGGGCAATGTAGATTCGCCAGAAGAGTTGTTGACCGGTGTTGAAGATAGTGGTGACATATATTCTATGTTTGCAGTAGTTACAGTGGATAGTCGAGCATGAGTTCGACAAAAATCAATGATATGCCCTAGACGCCGGCAAAAAATACAGTAAAGAAATGAACGGTCCTTTTTGGTGTTGGATTGTTGAGAGCTAGATCGATTGTTATTGTTACATCCATTGGAGCTAGATTTATTATTATTGTTGTGTCCATTGGAGCTAGACTGATTGTTATTGTTGCGTCTATTTTGTCGAAAAATGAGGCAAGGTGATCTGGTGCTGACTGAGATAGCACTGATTGAGGAGTAGAAGATGGTGTGGCTAAGACAGTGAGATGATTTTAGGAACGATGAGTCTGCAAGCTTGTCTCTTCTCGAACAAGTTTATTGAGAAAGCGATGGAGAAGCTGACTGTGTACTGGTTCAAAATCATCATGAAGACTTATCAGAAACTGATAAAGTTAAATCTGGTTACGATACTCGAGAAATTTCTTTGCTTCAGAAGAATGTTCCCATGATGGTTCGAAAAAAGCTAATTGATCCCATAAGCATTTCATTTAAGAAAAGAATTTTAATTCGTTTACCTGATTCTTATCTAGGAGTAGAAAGTTGAACCATTAATTGAAATTGGCGAGCCCTATTAGAACCAGAGTAGTGAAAGGCAAGCATGTCTCAGACCCTTGGCTATGTTGTAACTCCCAAATTCCATACTAATAGAAGAATTAGATGTGTTGTGTAACCATATAGTGATCTTGTGATTGTTATTGTCCTAGTCTTTAACACGTGTTTCATAGGCATCTGATGTCTCTTCTTTAGCTTGAGTAGGTTTTATACGATCTCCAATGACAAAGGTCCATAACTTACAACCTTTCGGAAAACTGCGCATAGATTGACTCCAAAAGGAGTAATTGTCACCATTAAAAATAACTGAAATAGAGTGAGGTACCTCGTTTTTGTGCCATTTAGAAATCCTGAATGAAAAAATGGACTGCAGATTTGGAATCAGCATGAAAAACTGGGCTAAATTGGTGTTTCCAGGAAAAAATTATGACACTGCTAACGTGGTAGCGTTGATGTGACAGTGATGATATAGCATAGGTGATGTGTCAAATGTTGATATGACAGTGATGACATGGTAACTGCTGACGTGGCATGACACGTGGTGCGACATGGATCTGATGTGCCTGTGCTCGTGAGAGCATGTGGAGGCATGTGGGTGGGGCGTGCCTGACGGGAAAAAATTGTAAAGCCTTCTGGCAGCGCATGGGGGTGCGTGCGTGATGCTTTCTAGCTATTTTTGGTGGCGTTGGGATGATCTGAGTCTAAACTTTCGCCTGGTATGCTTAGAATTGCGAAAGAACTTGCTAAAATCAAATTCGAACACCTAACAGAATGTATGCTTGATGAACTTATTAGAAGCCATCATAATTTTTTTTTTTTTAAATAAAATAAAATAAAGAAGACAGAAAACTTGGCTCTGATACTATATTAGAAATAAGAGAGAGAGCAATTGTATATTGTATTGATGTGTAAGATATGAAGATACACAGGGGTCTATAAAGGTGACGAGATGTATGGAGACTAAGAAATCTAAACCCTATATGGTAAACTTATGCATAGTAAACCTATACATGGTTAGACTATATTTTACAATATAGTAATAATCAGGGATAGAGCCAGGGTTTTAATTTAGAGGGGCCACAGTAAAAAAATAAAAATAAAAAATATTCAACTAACATTAATTGATATAAAACAAAAAAAATAAGAATTTGAAGAAGAAAAAAGAAAAGAAAATTGAGATATATTTGAAAGAAAAGAAATTAGAGTATGATTCAAAAAGGGAAATTTGACTTTTTTTATAAAAAAAAAAGAAATTTAAGGAATTTAAAAAACAAAAGAAAGAAAAAGTTAAGATAATTGTAAAAATTAAAAATTTAGTAAGGCATGATATATAATTTTTCATATATATTAAAAAAACTTACAATTTAAATATTTTTATTCTATTGGGCAGGCCAGGTCAGGGGGGGCACGTGCCCCCCTAGGGCTTAATTGGCTTCGTCCCTGGTAATAATATAAACCTATACATGGTTAGAATATATTGTACAATATAGTAATAATATATTTTACAATATATTCTAACAAATACATTGACTAGAAATATTATTAATTAAAATCTATATGATTGTATTTATTATTGTGATTTAAAAAAAAAATTGTAATCGTATCATTATTAAAAGCCGCCCCACTAAAAAAAATTATGGGTCTGTATCTAAATGTCTATGTTCATTAAAATACATATAAATTTAATGTCATTTCAGCTTTTCCATATTTGTTAAATAAAACAAAATTTCATTTTCAAATTTTGATTCTAGAAATTCTTTGAAATGTAATAAATAAATAAATAATTGAATCAATTTTGTGGGATATATACAGGTACATGTCTACAGGCGAAGCCGGAAGTGGAACCATGACATTGGATGAACTACATGTTCTTGAAAAGAATCTCGAAATTTGGATTTATCACATACGCTCAGCAAAGGTAACAACAATCAGCTTCTCCCCCAACTAAATTTGATTCAAATATTTTGATCATGAACTTACATATTACTTGAAATTGTCTAATGCAGATGGAAATTATGTTTAAAGAGATTCAACTGTTGAGAAATAAGGTTAGGTGCAATTCTGGTGATTAATTTCGAAGATAATAATCTAATAGCATATTATACATTCATTTATACTTGGTTGATATAGAAAGTCTGTGGTCATTATTTGAACTTCCAAAGTCGGTCAGTATTGAAGCATGGGTGTGGTACTATTGAATCACACCCTAATGCTTCGTTTCTGTAGGAAGGAAGAAAAATGGATAGCAACTAAAGGGAGAGAAGAAGTGTTGAATGAGACATTCCTAGAGAAGAGATTATATTTTTCCATCTTTTTGTTCAGTTGGATAGAAGAGAAGAGAAGAGAAGAAACTGAGAATCTACTTTAATTGATAAGATAAAAGGAAAGAGAGATTTTTAAGTTGATTTTACTATTGAACCCATCACTTACTTTATTTGTGAGATTTATTAAATATTTACAAAGGTTAATACACTAATTTAAAATTTCTATAATAGACCCACTTGTCTTCTCTCCACTCTTTCGCCCATATTTGGGCGGTTGAAAATTTCTAAATAAGGAAGGATGACTCATCCATCATTTATCATTTCTTTCCTTATATCATCTCTACTGAACAAATGAAGTTTGTTTGTTCCTTCCTATTTTCCTTCCACCCCTCTTCTTTCCTTCATATGGAACAAAGCATAAAGCAACTACTTCGCTATAGCAAAAAAATATAGTTTATGGGTAGAGAGGAACAACAATTAATTCTTTTATGGTATGTTTGGTTGGAGGGAAAGAGTGAGGAGGGATGGATGAGAGGGGGATAAAATAATTTTTCGTATTTGGTTGAAGGGAAGGGAAAAGAGGGAGGAAGCATCCCTCCTTGCTTTGTAATTTTCTATCGACCCAAAATTAGGGGGAAGTAGAGAGAGAAAGAAGGATAATAACCAACTTACATATAATTTCTATTTTTAACTTTCCAAAAGTTTGTTGCATACTTTGAAATTGATATCTAATTTTTACAAGTTTATATAATGATAGTATATATATAAAAACTCATTTCCCCTTCCTTCCAACTAAAAAAAAAGTATCTCTCCATTCATCATTTTTATTATCCATTCTATCCAACCTAACAAAAATATGAGTGAAACACCTTCCATTCCCCAAGAATACCTCATCCATCGTTCCCTCTCTTCATTCAATCCATTTTTCCATCCCTCTCTTATTTAGTTATTCTACGATATCTAACTAAATGAGATTTCTTATGATAAATCCATCACATTTTTTCTAAGATAACCAAAATAGGTAAATTACATAAGTTTCAAACTTAATATTTTATTAATAAGTAAATTTTTTTTTTCTCGCACCTTCATAAAAGTAAAGCATAGAGAAGAAATATAAAATGAAAAAGAATGAGAGAATTATGTAAAGGCTTGAATGAGATAAATAACTCTTCCACAGCTTTAGTATTTATAGATAAAAAGAGCACATGTTCATATTACAAGAAATGAAATTAAATCAAAGCATATTCTCAACCATATTCTATGGCATATTTTATAGCAGAATGAGATCTCTGCTAATATAGTAAGTCATTCTATAAACCATGGCTATCATATCTGCTAACACTCCCCCTCAAGTTAGTGCGTGGATATCTGAAACGCCCAACTTGGAATATGCATTTTCAAACAAAATCTTGCTAACGCTTTTTGTAAGAATGTCTACAAGCTGCTGAGAGCTTGTGACAAATGGAGTGCAAATTTGACCAGAGATGATCGTCTATTGAATGAAGTGACAGTCCACCTCTATATACTTAGTTCTATCATGCTGAACGAGATTTGTTGCTATGGTAATGGCAGATTTGTTGTCACAGTAAAATGAGACACAAGTCTGTCATCAAGGTTTTCAGCCATAGCAACTCAAATACCCCAAGAGCCATAACCCTATACTCTACACTAGATTGAGAAACAACATCCTACTTCTTAATGCACCAAGTAACAAAGTTGCCACCAATAGTGGTACAATAGCCCGAAATGGAGGATCGTGCATAATCAGCATCTATCCAAGCCTCAACACGTAAGTGACCATGATTGGAAAACAAAATACCACGGCCCGAACACCCCTTTAAGTGGCAAATGATCTGAATAGTTGCATCAAGGTGAGGGGCACGAGGAGAGTGCATGAATTGACTCGTGACACTTACGGCATAAGCAATGTCAGGTCGAGTCATGGATAAATAGATGAGCTTTCTAACAAATTGTTGATACTTCTTTTTGATAAGTAAGAAGATTCAATAAAAGCATTTAAAAGGGGAACGCGTCTCGAAAAAAAAAAAAAAAAAATAGGGGCCCTAAGGCCAGAAAATCTATCGTCTCCTCAGAAGAACAACAATGTCTACCCGAACCCCGCAAGAAGAGAGAACTAATAATAGAAGACTTGAGAACAGCAAATGAAGATTCCTCACCTTCAAATGCTCTTCTATTACGCTCCCTCCACGAACATCACCATAAGCACAAGGGCACCATCCTCCAAGGCCCTCTAGCATGAGGTCCAACAGTATCCCCTCTCCAAGCCTCCATCAATCCTTTCATAGATCTAGGCATAACCTATGTAACTTTAAAGTGGCCCAACAAGAGGCTCTAATAATCCAAAGCCACTGGGCAATGCAAAAGAAGATGATCCACCGACTCTCCATAACACTTACAAATATAGCAATAGTTAACAATGATATGATTTCTCCTCCTTAAATTGTCAAGCATCAAGATCTTACCCTACACCACAGTCCAAGAAAAGAAAGCCACTTTAAGCGGCACCTTGAAATGCCACACTTCCTTCCACGGAAACCTCCCGGTTGAATCCGAAAGACAACCGAAAAGGGATCTTACACAAAAAGTACCCCAAGAAGAAGGGACCCAAACTAGAGAGTCCCTACCTCCATCCCAAATCTATTGGCTATACAAAAACATCTGATAAAAACTCCGCCTCAGAATCAGCCAATCAATGATTCTGCTTAATCGGAGTATTAACAGGACGAACGCTAAGCTAACTAGAAGCAGAAATGAAGTCAAGAACATACTTGCGTCGAGAGATGAAAATGCCAGCCTTGGAGCGAACCACCTCAATGCCCAAGAATTTCCGAAGGGGACCAAGATCCTTAATCTCAAATTGACGGTCAAGATAGGTCTTAACCTCAGTAATTCTGATAGTATCATCTCCAGGAAAAATAATATTATCAACATACATAATGAGAGTAATTGTCTTTCCACCTGAATGACATAAGAATAAGGTATATTAGCTGCACTTTGATGGAAACCAAACTGAAGCATTACAGTGCCAAATCAATCAAACTAAGCTCAAGGAGACTGCTTGAGGCCATAGAAGGAGCAACAAAGACAACAGACCATATCGGAATGAGTAGGAGAATGAAAGCCCAGAGGGGGAACCATATACACCTCTTTTTGCAAATCACCATTGAGAAAGGCATTCTTGACATCTAAGTGAAATAGAGGCTAAGAACGAATCTCAACAATGGAAAATAATACACGGATGGTATTTATCTTGGAAACAGGGGTAAAAATCTCCTGATAATCTATGCCATAAGTCTGAGCATAACCCTTGGAAACCATCTGAATTATGCTTAACTATAAACACCCAATGAAAACCCACAACCATTCATCCAATAGGAAATAGAACCTTGTCCCAAGTTTGATTTTTCTCAAGTGCTTGTCGTCTTCTATCATAGCATCACGCCATTAAGGTTGTGTTAATGCATTTGCAACACTAGAAGGAAGAGGAACCGAGGCAACGGAAACAAGAAAACTTCAATAGGAGTGTGACAGCCCAAGTTTTTCAACCCGGTGCGTTAGTGATGACCCAAAAGTTAACCCGGTCCAAAATGCGAAAGTAAAAGATGAAACCATAGTCATTTGAGATAAAACTCATCTCTAAGACACCAATGTGACATTCCATGATGTCACGAAACTTAAGGAGAGAGAAAGAGGAAACTAGAGTTAAAACGGGCTAAATTCGTTAATTAAGGGCAAAATGGTTAATTCATAATTAAAAGGAGAAAATTGACTCTAAACAAGTCAAACAAGGTGAATACGACCTAATCTAATCATTTCACAACATTCCAAAGGGTTCCAAGAACATTGGACAAGAATCCCACAAAAATGCCCTTTCCCAGTTTAAGCAAAAACTGACCATACCTTACTAAAACATGACTAACTCCTACGGTGATTGGAATCAGAGAATGCCATAGGTACCATTGGAAATCTGACTCAAAATCCTTGAGTTTAGGCTCAAGAATCACCCTATTTGGATTAGAAATGAAGGAGTTATGACCTTTTGAAGTTGGAATTTCAATGCTGAAATATAACCTGGAAGGTAGGTGCATGAGGGCTATTTCGGTCAACCGAAATAGAGTTTCGGTCGATCAAAACTCACAGAAACTTTGCTGAAGTTTTGTTTTTAAGGTGAGGTTGGTTCGGTTGACCGAATTGGGCCATCGGTCGATCGAAAAAGGCCATTGGTCAAACCGAAATGGTCCTAAATAGTGAAAAAGCCTACTGGAATTGAAGATTTACTGTGCATTAAAGCTTCTAAAAGCCATCGGTCAACCGAAATGGAGTTTTGGTTGACTGAAACACCTCAAAAACCTGCTGTAAGACCAGCTATATGCCCAATGTGTTAAGGTTTAACCCATGCTTCAAATCCCCTTATGAATTGGTTCAAAAATGAAAGTTTAAAACTGATTTTCAATGTGATTTGAGTATGTGAGCATATCAACAACCTTGAAATGAATAAATGAATGTATTACAACAACTCATGGCCTTATACATGTCCATTACAAGAATTTCACATGTCAAATCCCCAAAGTTGGTTAAAATACATTTTTTGTAGCAAAAGTTGGTACCAAATGAACACAAGTGCAAAATAAACATACTTGCAATATCAAAAGTGAATACTTAAGTATCATTACACATCAAGGACGTTACATTAGCTTCTAAAATATCATACACCCATGGTATACAAAATATGGCATCAAAAGTAAGGCATGCTAAACACTTGC